TCCGTTACATAGCCACTTTTAATTTTTAATTAAATATCGCACTTTATTCATTGGTCCATGTGCTTTTCATTGATAGTCTGTAGCATGCCTGGATTAGGGGAATGATTCGTAGGTTTTGTGCGAGCCTTTTGTATTTTATTCTCCTATATGTGTGTTATACTCCAAGAGTTGCTGGTTGGGTTCACAGATTGCATTTCGAGGCCCAACAAACAATCCCCCAAGCCCCATTTTAATAATTATATTAAATCTAGAACTTTAATTTTATTATGTTATGCTCTCCGGACCTATTTGAAATATTTCACATGAATTTGCTTGTTTTGGTTTATCCGAAAAGACATGGAGAAAGTATTGCCGATCATTATCATTTTTTGTGCGATAATGGATTTTTATTTGCAGTTTTCCAGGCTAATGGCCTCTGACTTTCCTTGTGTGTGGGGAGTATGTACAATTTTGACTCGCTTGCCTAGGGATCTGATTAACTGCCCATTTATTTTTCAACAGTTATGATTATTATTATCATGTTTTAACGGTTTATACCTGCCGTCAGAATATATAAATATATCATTATTCATGTTGGCATTCTTTACTTTGCCAACTTATTTCTTTCAAAAAAAATTTTGTCTAAGTGCATATTATTTCATCATCCTTGTCCAACATCTTTCCTGCAATGTTTTCCCAAATTGATTCTTAGAGAGTATCTAGCAATTATGATTCTAGGAGTTCAAGTCCAAAATGTGATACTTCTAGCACCTCTTCTTCCTATGTAGAAGTTTGTATAGTCATGTGCTCCCTTACAGTGCTATTACACATTCTGGAATGAGCGTTCACCCATGAAATTTTGGTCAAGCATGAAGTTTTTGAACTAGGGTTGGGGTACATAATGAGGTAAGATAACCTTCTAATATGCCAGTTGACCTTAATGAGAGTGGTGGAAATGCTTTTGAGGCTTCAAGAGTTTTCAACAATTTTTTTGAACAAGGTCTGGCTGACACTAGGATCTATTTTAATGTTCCAAATGATATAGAACTATTACTTCCTGGACAGTTTCAAACGACAGATTGCCCGTCCCTAGGCTGTTGGTGTGTGCTGTCGCAGGCACCCAAAGTAATACATAAACCTCTAAAACTAATGTAGTAGTGGAAGTAAGGGGTCAATCCCACGAAGAGTGTGTAATTCAATATTTTATGTTTTGTACAATGATTGGGGTTTTTTTGTATTTAAAGAATTGTAAATAACGCAATTAATTACAATGAAAATTAAGTTAACGAAAATAATCAAAAGACTAACATTAGTCTAAATCCACATCCACCGTCGGAAAACCACAATTGATCATAGATGCAAGGATAATTCAATTCATATTTTGAATATTCATCGTTGGAATTGATTTCTATTTCTCCTTAATTTTAGTTAGCTAGAAACCAACGTTCTAATTAACCCTAATTATTAAATAATCCCAGACCAATACTCAAAATTTAATTTAATAACAGTTTTACACAATAGAGAAAT